TGTCTGAGAGACAGTTACAAAATGTTTTCGTGGTTGCCAATGCCAAAAAATGCCATCATTCATTAAGTCCAAACAACGGTGGTTGAATTCTAACAACTGATCAACAATTCGAACTTTGATAAGCAGTTCTCGATAATCAGTTCTCAACAATTATTTGTTATTATTAAAGTTTAACATTACAAAATTAACAAAAATAATACAAAACTCATATCCTGGCAAAATAGCCACATGGCAGTGTTGGGACCAGAATTGCTGCTGAGAGACCACCACACACATGTAAAGACAAAAAGGGCTTTATTTTGCAAGCATATGCCTGGGCCACTCTTCCCTTCAGCGAAGCTGGAGGAAGGGTGACCCTCTAGTGAAGCAAGCTGAGGTTTTTAGCATAGAGGAATTTCATCGGGCATTTTGTCTGCCAGGCTGCTATTGGCTGAGCTGTTTATGGTTAGGGACTCTGGGGGGGGGGGCCTACTTGTTTGTTCCAGACAGTTTGGCTCCTTCTGAGCTAACTGTCCTTGCCTAGAAGGGAGGGAAGGAGCCAGTCTCTTTCTGATACCGATTCTACCTGGGAGACCTTGCCCAGGAGGGGAGTAGGGAGTTTACATTAGCCTTTTCATTTCCAAATGAAGTTACATTAACCTCTTGATTCCCAAATGGAGTTATATTAACCTTTTCAGCAGCCGAAAACCCATATTCCCTTCCCATTGTCCCACCGTTCCCCAGCTTATCGTGCCTTCTTTCCAAAAATCGTGACTTTTTAAAAATGCTGCAGGACACGAGACAAATTGTTAAAAATTGGGACTGTCCCACCAAAAGCAGGATGTCTGGTCACCTTACCATTAACAAAAATTGATTCTCACTGGATAAAAGATTTAAACTTAAGACATGAAACTATAAAAATACTAGAACAGAGTACAGGGAAAACACTTGAAGAAACTGGCCTGGGAGAATATTTTATGAGGAGGACCCCCTCAACCCCGGACAATTGAAGCAACACCAAAAATACATTACTGGGATCTGATCAAACTAAAAAAGCTTTTGCACAGCCAAGAGCACAGTAAGTAAAGCAAACAGACAACCTTCGGAATGGGAGAAGATTTTTGCAGGTTATGCTTCAGACAAAGGTCTGATAACTAGAATCTCCAGAGAACTCAAACTAATCAATAAGAAAAGAATAAATAACCCTGTTTCTATGTGGGCAAGAGTCTTGAACAGAAACTTCTCTGATGAAGACAGGTGCATGACCTACAAACAAATGAAAAAATGCTCATCATCCATAATCATCAGAGAAATGCAAATCAAAACCACTTTGAGATATCATCTAACTCCCGTAAGATTAGCTCACATCACAAAATCCCAAAACCAGAGATGTTGGTGTGGATGCAGAGAGAAGGGAACACTTCTACACTGCTGGTGGGAATGCAAACTAATATGACCTTTTTAGAAAGAAGTTTGGAGAACACTGAAGGACCTAAAAGTAGACCTGTTTGATCCTGCAATTCCTCTATTAGGTATATACCCAGATGATCAGAAATTATTTTACAAAGACATTTGTACCAGAATGTTTATTGTAGCCCAATTCATAATAGCCAAGACATGGAAACAGCCCAAGTGCCCATCGACCCATGAATGGACTAACAAATTGTGGTATATGTACACCATGGAATACTATGCAGCCATAAAAAGATGGAGACTTCGGCTCGGCGCCTGTGGCTCAAGCGGCTAAGGCGCCAG